AATTTGGAATGATGACAGCGAAAAGTTGTACATTTTATCGTGCCATGCAGCCATGCAGCAATGCACCGATAGCCTTTCCATGCAAGGCTAATTAAGTGGTGGTATAGGTTTACGTTCCACATTTGGTGGGCCAGGCAGTGGGAACTTCATGGGTCAGAGTAGGCTCTCTCTTCACTTCATCTAGAATATCTTAATTATCCCTGCCCCTCAAAATCATTAGCCGAAGGAGTATCTTACCGAGGATCTGATAGTTGCGGCCAACTGACGACCAACGTCACTCTTAAATGTCATGGCTCTCAGTCTGTTCCTCTTTGGCAGTGCATTCTTGCACACATTCTTACGTGCGAACTCGTAGATGTCTGCAAATCTGTAGGTGTAAATGTGGGATTGTATGTCCGTGTGGGCGCATGTGCATGTGAATAGATGTGCAATATTCTGACAAAGGTCTGCTGGTGAATGGATTATAGAAAGCCTGGATTCAGGCGTATGCTTGACTATGCTAAGCATCCACCATCTGTTGAGCATCATTTTTATAGGAAACGATTTCTGGTCCACTGGCACTTCAGGGGCGGGTAGTATTTCGCACCAGAAATGACTAAAAAAACTGCAAGTAAGTAAAGCGGAGTTTTGTGGTGCAATTTATTCTATAGACGGGTCACTGTTCACGGTATTCGAGGCCAGGACTAGAGGACAAAGAGGCTGACTCTTTGGAAATGGTACTTAGATGCAAGCGAGCTGTAGAATCTAGTACAGTCTGGGCGAGTGCACACCTTTTTGGCCGAATTATGGTGTTATTTTGGACAACATCATTCTCAGACAGTTTTGCTTCGGCTACGACTGTTTCAGACCAATTGTACGAAGAGGTCAGAACCGTATCCGAACTACTTTTTTCCTAAATTCGAGTAGTAGCACATTCGCACGAGTGCGAATACTTAGAAGTGCAATACATGCACCATAAAGCCGCCTTCTTGATCCCAAACGTGCAGTTGCAGATTAGGAGATCATCCCGGCCCATCGAATGCCATTGAGGAGCTCATTATTTGTGCTGTTTCATAGGCTACATTAATCACAGTTGATTTTGACTCAGATGCAACCGACAAGCGGGAATTCTGTCTGGGGTACCAACTTAATCGTAAGTCAAATAGGAAGCCTTGTACAAATAGGGGCTGGTAGTTATCCGGGGTTCTAATTCCCGAGCGGCCGTGACTGGAGGTACTGGCTTTATGACATTAAGAGGCAAGGAAAAGTTCGTCCGAACCCGGTACCTTCGAAGAATCGCCGAACTTTCCTCATCACTTTCTCTATTTGCATGTATCTTCCTTTAGAGCCAGAGTTCTCTGATAACTCGGGCTGACCTGATGGAGATTATAGTGCAGTTTCCAGGTGGCTGGGCTGCATGCTTACGAAAGGACGACTTGACGACCTCAGCTTCGGATTAAGTCTGGCGAAAACATTCATCTTTATCCAGTGTTACTTTTGGCGGAAGGTTTAAACAGGTTCCGACACCAGATTGAACACCCACGAAATGTCATCCAATGCAGGCCATTTAGTGGCATAACTGGTCGAGTTGTGGAATACAACAAACTTTGGCCTTTGATGGAGATCATTTTGGAGAGTTTTGGTATGCCTGTCTGTTGGTTATACCTTGAAATATGTTCTAATGACATCTCTTTCATCCTTTTCTCTCCTATACGCTCTCCCGATAGAAATTTATGTTTACTTTTTTTGGTTTCTACTCTTTTTAACTCGGTTCTTTTCATCGTTATACGTTAATTGGCCCGTTTACTTCCACTTATTTTGTGTGTTTTATTAGGGCCAGCATCAAAATCTAGAATGCTTGAATGTGTTTCCTGTTTATTATATAATCATCATCAGCTCACAGAAATACTGCTTCTCGATTCATCTGCTGCTACTTTCCGACAACTGTTGGGCTCCTCTATCCTGTCAACTTGATACATCTGGGAAACATTACATCCAAGTGTGTCTGGGAGAATGTTCAGGGTCAAAAGTTCATCTTGTGAACTGGGCCAAGGCAGTCCGATTCTGTATGCACACAATCCCTCTATAGCTCTATCTCATTTCACTTTGAGAGCTGGAGCTTATGGATAAAATTGATTCCGAAGCACAGATTTCCAGAACTTGTCTCTGAGTTCTTCCGGTTGCAGTTGGATTACCTATTTCCAATGTTTGCCTGTTCTTGTCTTGTCTATCGTGTTGTGAATAAACGCATGTGTGCACTTTTGCTCAAGCGAATTGGTATGCTGTTGCCAGCTATCGTGCAAGAAGAAGCAAGGGAGCCCAGAGCAACTAGGCCGAAAGTAAGATGTCTGTGTGAAGAGGAAGAACCAGTCTATTGAAGCTTGAATGAAAGCTAACCAGCCGTCTTCTAAGACTAGTGTATCTGAGGAATACGCAACCATCCACAGAGGTACTACAAAACTTGAGGCGAAATCTGTTTTTGACGCCTATGTCGGCATGGGCACATGCATGGAAAAAAGCAGAAACTTCCAATATTCGGGCAAACTTAAGCTACTGGAAAACTATCCTCGGAATTCTGCTGCGGATTGACCATTAGTCTTTCGTTTGACTCTGCAGCATCAGTTCATATCTGTCCATCACTATGCTCCTGGTATTAACAAGAGGTAGTCAGAGAGCTATGTATTGTTGCAAACTTTGTTTTCAAGTAAATACTAGGCCCTTATTAGTAGTAAGAATTTAGTAAACCCAAGTTGTCTAATTTGATTTAGGGATTAACAGTGAAAATTTCCTGCAATAAACACTATAAACCTCGCAATACAATTGAATTTCACTTAGATTTACCTCAAAGAAGATTTTCTTAGCCAGACTGAACTGCA